TTTTTTGAGACAGAGCCTCAAGCTGTCCCCTTGGGTAGAGTGCTATGGCATCATAGCTCACAGCAACCTCCAACTCCTGGGCTCAAGCGAGTCTCCTGCCTCAGCCTCCCAAGTAGCTGGGACCACAGGCGCCGGCCACAACGTCCAGCTATTTTTTATTTTTTATTTTTTTTTGTTGCAGCTGTTGTTGTTAGGCTGGCCTGGGCTGGATTCCAACCTACTGCGTTAGGTGTATATGGCTGGAGCCTTAGCCACTTGAGCCACAGGCGCCGAGCACTTTTTTTTTTTTTTTTTTTTTGTAGTGTTTGGCTGGGGCTGGGTTTGAACCCACCACCTCCGGTATATGGAGCTGGTGCCCTACTGCTTTGAGCCACAGGTGCCCCCCCTGGAATGTATATCTTTATCTTTGGGAGGAGTGTCCTATATGTGTCTATCAAGCATAGTTGTTCTTGGGTCTCATATAAGTCTCTCATATCTTCGCTTAATTTCTGTTTAGAGGATCTTCCAGCTCTGTAAGAGGAGTGTTAAAGTCCCCTGTTATTATGGTCTATAGGATATCATATTGCTCAAACTTAATAAGGTCTGTTTTAGGAATCTGGGAGCATTTAAGTTGGGTGCATCAATATTTAGAATTGAAATGTCGTCTTGTATTTTTCCTATAACCTATAGAAAGTGACCATCTTTGACTGTTTTGACTTTAGTTGCTTTAAGTCCACATGTATCTGAAAATAAGATTGCAACTCTGCTTTTCTTCTGAATTTTGTTTGCCTGAAGAATTTTCTTCCAACCCTTAACTTGGAGTTTTAATTTGTCTTTTGAAGCTAGGTGTGTTTCTTGCAGACAGCAAATGGATGGCTTGTGTTTTTGAATCCAGTCAGCCAAATGGTGCCTGTTCAGTGGGCAATTCAATCCATTAACATTTATTGAGATAATTGATAAGTGTGGTAGTGTTGTATTCATCTTATTTTGTGAGAGTCCATTGCTTAGTTTTATCTTTTGCATCATGGTGGAAGTTAAGTTCTGTCCTTTAATTTCTGAGTTTTTACCTTGTGTTGATCCATTGTGATGGTCAGTATGTAGAACAGGTTGAAATATTTCCTGTAGAGCTGGTCTTCTTGTGGTGAATTTCGTCAATGTTTGTATATCAGTAAATGATTTGATTTCTCTGTCAATTTTAAAGCTTAGCTTAGTGGGATTTAGAATTAATGGCTGGAAATGGTTCTTTTTAAGTAGATTCAAGGTAGGTGATGATTGTCTTCTTGCTTGAAAAGTTTCATTAGAGAAGTCTGCAGTCACCGTGATGGATTTCCCCCTGTAGGTCAACTGGCGCTTACTCCTGGCAGTTTAAAGAATCTTTTCTTTTGTCTTGACTTTGGACAGGTTCATCACAGTGTGTCTTGGAGAAGCTCTGTTAGAGTTGAGGTGATCTGGGGTCTGATATCCCCCTGAAAGGAGTATGTCATAAACTTTGGTGATATTTGGGAAATTTTCATTTATAATATTGTCTAGTATGGCTTCCATTCCCCTGGGGCATTCTTCTTCTCCTTCTGGAATACCTATAACTCGTATATTTGAATGCTTCATAAAGTCCCATAATTCTGTCAATGAATGTTCTGCTTTCTCTCTCTTCTTTTCTGCTTCTTTAACTATCTGATTTATCTCAAGAGCTTTGTCTTCTACCTCTGAGATTCTTTCTTCTGCATGGTCTAATCTGTTGTTGACACTTTCTATTGCATCTTTAAGTTCCCTAATTGACTGCTTCAGTTCCTTCAACTCTCCTATATATTTTCTATATTCTTTTTTTTTTTTTTTTTTTTTTTGAGACAGAGCCTCAAGCTGTCCCCCCTGGGCAGAGTGCCGTGGCATTACAGCTCACAGCAACCTCCAACTCCTGGGGTCAAGCGAGTCTCCTGCCTCCGCCTCCCAAGTAGCTGGGACTACAGGTGCCCGCCACAACGCCCGGCTAATTTTTGGTTGCAGCCGTCATTGTTGTTTGGCGGGTCCGGGCTGGGGATTCGAACCCGCCACCTTAGGTGTATGTGGCTGGCGCCTTAGCCGGTTGAGCTATAGGCGCCGAGCCATATTTTCTATATTCTTCATATCATTCATCTCCTATTTGATTCTGGTTTTGGATTTCCTTTTGGTTATTTTCAACTTTATCAGCAGTTTTATTCATAGGTTCCATCATTTCCTTCATTGTTTTCATCATCTGTATTCTAAATTTCCTTCCTGCCATATCTAACATTGCTTTATAGGTGGAATCCTCTGCAGTAGCTACCTCACGGTCCCTTGGGGGATTGCTCTGGACTGGTTTTTTATGTTGCCAGGATTTTTCTTCTCATCTTCCTCAGAGTGTTTTCTTCTATCTGTTTCTTTGCCCAAATTTTCCTTTTACTTCATCTTACTCTTTAAGTTACTGTCCCTTTAGACTAGGGTTTCGACAGGAAGGATGAGAAGATTAAAGAACAAGAAGGGAAAAAAGAAAAAAAAAAGAAAAGAAAAAAAGAGAAAGGAAGAGGGGGTGAGTAAAAGGGAATATTGACAAAAAGGGAGACATAGAAAGAGGGAGACAGGGGCAATATAGGTATCCAGTAGGGTACTTTGACCCAACCTTAAAAAACCTCTGGGGGTGCTGGGTTGGGTGATTCCCTTGAGGTCAGCAGCTCTTTGCCAGCCTGTTCGGACACAGTACCCTGCTTCCACGAAGTAGAAGGGAAAGACAAAAATGCTATAAATCAAACTAAAACAAACAAACAGAAAACTTCGCGGACTAAAATTGGGGGGAAAACCCCAAATAATAGAGGTAAAATCTAGCAAAAATGAAGTTCTAATTGTTAAAGAAGGCAACAATGGAAAATTATATTTAAGTTTTAAAAATGAAGAAAAGAAAGAAAAAAAAGAAAAACCTGGAGAGAAAATGTTGAAATTAAAACAAAAACAAAAACAAAGTAGTATACATATCTTGCTGAATATTGTCTGGGCAACAGGTGATCTTCTAAGGTATGAGATATTAAGCCTTCCTGATACTGGGGAGATGACAGTAGCCAACTTGATTGACAGACCCCCTAGACAGTTTCAAGTTCATTAGGTTAAAATAAAAAATTCAAGTCAAAGGCAATACTTTGTAGTCAGTGATTGTCAGCTTAATGGTAGGGTGGTATAGAAGAATCAATGAGTGGGCTTGTGTAGTTTGAAAAACAGTATTATTTCTACATTTCAAATGTGGACGTGATCCAATAGAAGGAAAATATGGCAGTGTTCACTGTCTAGAACATGAACTCAAAATAAAATGATTGGCCAGGTGTGGTGGTGCATGCCTCTGGTCTCAGTTATTTGGGAGGTTTGAGGCAGGAAATCTATGATTGTTACACTGAATGCCAGACTGAGCAACAGAGTGAAACCCTGCCTCTTAAAAAAAAAAATTGAAGAACATCATTCAATTGCATGAGTGCGATTTTGCTCCCAAGGAGGTTACAATTGCTTTTTTGATGAGTCAAAAATAAATCTTGCTCTGTGTTTGTACCATGGACACAGAACCAGTAAATTAATAGATGCACACAGTATTTCTGTGCAATTAAAATTTCTTTGTGAGAGGTGATTTGGAAAAAGAGTATTTAACATGGCTCTTTAGGAGGGTGATAATGATAAAATAAAAAAAGGCCAAGAGAAACTACAGAATGCAGTGGGACCCTATATTCATAGTGTTTGGGCATGTGGAGTGTAGATAGTTGCAGTATAGATAAAGGGGAAATAAAGTCCCAGCTGCTAGGAATTTTGGTGACTGGCTTTCTAGGCCAGTTTGGGCCATTGGTAACTTGTACTAACTTGAACTTGACTGTATCTGGTAAGGGGTAGAAGAAATTTATCCTACCTCCTCTGTGTTCCCTCTTCCATACTACCCACCTTCCTTACCCCTAGTTGTACTCAGGAAGTGAAACTTGAGGGCTGTTTTCTCAGAGCTGCAGAGCCTGGTGGAAGGGCCCAAGGTCATTTGCTATTTTTTCTTTTCTTTTCTTTTTTTTTTTTTTTTTGAGACAGAGCCTCAAGCTGTCCCCCTGGGTAGAGTGCTCTGGCATCACAGCTCACAGCAACCTCCAACTCCTAGGCTCAAGTGATTCTCCTGCCTCTGCCTCCCAAGTAGCTGGGACTTCAGGCGCCCGCCACAACGCCTGGCTGTTTTGTTGTTGTTGTTGTTGCAGCCATCTTTGTTGTTTGGCGGGTCCAGGCTGGATTTGCCCACCAGCTCAGGTGTATGTGGCTGTGCCAATCCGTTTGTTATTTTTTCTTTCTTTCTTTCTTTTTTGTTATGGACACAGGCTCTCATTCAATTACCCAGGCTGGAGTGCAGAGGCCCAGTCATAGTTAAGTGCAGGTTCCAGCTTTTCGGCTCAAGGGATCCTTCCAACTGAGCCTCCTGAGTAGCTGGGAATATAGGCACACACTCCTATACCTAGCTAAGTTTTTGGTCTTAATTTTTGTAGCGACAGGGGTATTGCTATTTTGCGGTGGGTGGTCTTGAACTCCTGGCCTCCTGTCGTGATCTCTCAAAATGCTGGGATTACAGGCGTGAGCCATTGCACCTGGTCCCTTGGCACCTTTTATGTTACATATCACAAACCTGTACTCAGGAGGCCTTGGGCCTACAGACCTGTGTTCACCTATAAGTAATGAGTGGGCATTTGTTTCTTCTCTTCCCTCCAGTGTCATTCATTCACAAAGTACGGGGAGTGCTGGGAGATGGCTGAAATACAAAGGTGTTTTGGCAGGTCTGTTTCTACCAGTTGGTGAATAGCAAGAGAGTTGAATTTGGGAATGCTATGAGTGCTGAGTGAGCAGTTGAGTGGCTGGGGTTGGGGGAGGGGAAGGAACGGCATTGTTCTGGTGGAAAAGTGGACAGAGGGAGTTGGTTTGGTGCTTAAGGATTCTTTTCAAGCTTCCTACACACCATCTCTCTACTCTTCTGCTAAATCACGGAGCTGTTTTGGCCCTCCTGTTTTTTTAAAATAATGGAATGCTTCACGAATTTGCATGTCATCCTTACGCAGGGACCATGCTAATCTTCTCTGAATCTTTCCAATTTTAGTATATGTGCTGCCTAAGTGAGCACTTTTTTTTTTTAAATCTTTAGAATGAGATGAGTGACACGAAGTTTACTTTCACATGTAGTAAGTTGTGAAGGTCATTACTTGACAAGGTGAGACATGTCTAAGAATTTCTTTATTAGAAATATTGCACCTCATAGCTGGATCATTACCATTGCAAAGATTTAAACTGAGACATTGGAGATGCCACACAGGCTAGGCCCAGCCCAGGTGCTCTTTCTTTGGGGTCAGGAATGCTTTTTCATTTTTTCCTTCACTGGGATATCTTCTTTACCAACAGTTGGAATTCTTCAAAACTAACTTCCCCATCTCCATTCTTGTCCAGTTCTTGAAACAGGTCATCTAGGGTGTTTGGACCCTGGTTTTAGACAAAAAAGATGGGATGTTGGAGGGAAGAAAAAAATGAAATCAGCAACTGCTGCTCAGTCTCTGAAAATTAAAGCCCTGGGTCTGCACTGCAAGGGGGCAGCTTGAGTTTGTGGTAGTTGGAGGGGACAAACCCGCTTTAGCTGTACTATTGCTCCGTGTCTCAGAACTGGCTATTCCCCCCCATCACATATTTATTGTTTCAATATAATGTAGATTTTAATATAATTGGTTCGTTATGTGATCTTATATCTTTTTCTTTTTGCCTGTAAAAACATTCTTTTGTCTGGGTGCAGTAGCTCATGGGTATAATCCCAGCACTCTGGGAGGCCAAGGCTGGTGGATTGCCTGAGCTCACAGGTTCGAGACCAGCCTGAGCCAGAGCAAGACCTCATTTCTAAAAATAGCCAGGTGTTGTGGAAGGCGCCTGGAGTCCCAACTACTCAGGAGGCTTAGGCAAGTCGCTAAGCCCAAGAGGTTAATCCTAGCACAGAGACAGGTGGTTAATCCTAGCAACTCAGACAGGTTGCTGTGAGCTATGATACCATTGACAAAGTGAGACTCTGTCTCAAGAAAAAAAAAAAACAAATTCTTCTGTGAGGTTTGTCTGTGGGCTCCACTGGAACTGCTGAGGCACCTACGCCCCCAAGGTGTCCTGAGAGCTGTTTCTTCTCCTTTTCTTTCCTTTTTTTTTTTTTTTTGAGATAAGAGTTTCAAGCTGTCACCCTGGATAGGGTGCTCTGGCGTCACAGCTCACAGCAACCTCCAATTCTTGGGCTCAAGTGATCCTCTGGCCTCAGGTTTTTCTATTTTTAGTGGAGATGGGGTCTTACTCTTGCTCAGGCTGGTCTGGTTCTGGTGAGCTCAGGCAATCCACCTGTCTTCAGTGCTAGGATTACAGGCATGAGCCATGATGCTTGGCCCTGGTAGCTGGTTTTTGTCTCTGTAATCCTCACAACCTCCTTGTGGGGGAGATCCACTTTACAGGTGAGGAAACAGGCTCAGAGAGAGCCAGTAACTTGTTCCAGGGCCCATAGCTAGTTAGCAGAGGGCTTGGGATCTTAACTTTGGCTTCAGAGCCAAACCCATTAACTAGCCATTACCTTAGTTTTTCCTGAATCTCAGGCTGTGCAAAATGACTTGATCAGTGGTTCCCATCACACTTTAGCGTGCGTCAGAATCACCAGATGGCTTTGCTGACCTTAGTAAATACAGATTGATGGCCCCACATGCAGAATTTCTGATTCACTAGATTTGTGAGACTCTATTTTTGCTGCTGTTCTAGGGGCATGCTTGGACAGCTGCTGCTGGGGTGTTTCATGAGATCATGTTTCAGGCTTTCTGACTACTGCTGTTTCTTTTGTGTCTTAAGCAGACTTCATTTTTGTCTCTTCCATAAAACTAAAATTGTGCAGTGATTACTGCTTAGACTTTCAGATAGGAGTGTATTTGTGGCAAAATAGTACTTAGGAAACTTGTGATAATAACCGTTTAGTTTATGTCAGTTTCAAATCAATCAGACTGTATACATATGTATATATAAATTGTTGTAAAAAAACACATAACATTAAATTTACCATTTTAAACAGTTTGAAGTGTACAGTTCAGTACAGTAGTGCTGAGATTATTCATATTGTACACCACATCTCTATGGCAAGATATATTTTAAACACTTAAGATTTCTACAAAGATGCTTGACACTTCGCTATGATCCCAAAACCAAACTAGTAGTGCTGAGATTATTCATATTGTACACCACATCTCTATGGCAAGATATATTTTAAATGCTTAAGATTTCTACAAAGATGCTTGACACTTCGCTATGATCCCAAAACCAAACTGTAAGTTAATTATTCTGCATGTGTTTTATAAATACGAAGCACTATTTTCTAGATGCATTTGCTAGATTCTAGACCATGTGAGGTGATGATGATATATGTATAAACAGAGTATATAGCTGGAAAATCTTAGTAAATCCCCATGGAACTACCATTAGCCACATGACTTTATAAGCATGCTTGCAAAACTTACTGTTTTAGAACTTACTGTTGGTCTTCCTACGATTTACCGAATTATAAAAGTCTTAAATGTTTTTTGTAGGAAATACATAAAATATAGAAAAGTTTGTCACCTTTTTACTTTTATTTATTAAAATCTTTACCTTTTTTTTTTTTTTTTGAGAGACACAATTTCACTGTATTGCCCAGGCTAGACTGTCATGGCATCAGCCTATCTCATAGCAACCTCCAACTCCTAGGCTCATTCAGTCCTCCTCTTTCAGCCTCCAAAGTATCTGGGTACTGTGCCTGCCACCATGCTGGGCGACTTTGGTTTTATTTTTATTTTCTTCCTATTTTTAGTAGAGATAGGGTCTTATTTTTGCTCAGGCTTGTTTTGGGCTCTAACTACTAAGCTCAAGCAATCCACCCTCTTGGCCCTCCTAAAATGCTAAGATTTTTAGGCATCAACCATTGCACCTGGCCTCCAAGTCTTACCTTTTCAAAACAGTTTGTTTGAGTGGATTGCCTAGGTATTCTTGTTAGGTTATTATTCGTCTCATTTTTGGAGAAAGGTAAGTTTTTTTTTTTTTTAATTTAAAATTTCTCAAACTGTGTTTTCCTTTTTGATTAAAAAGTCCTGCTTTTTGCTATTACCCTTAACCATTTTTATTTTATTTTATTTTATTTATTTATTTTTTTTGAGACAGAGCCTCAAGTTATCCCCCTGGGTAGAGTGCTGTGCAATCGCAGCTCACAGCAACCTCCAACGCCTGGGCTTAAGTGAGTCTACTGCCTCAGCCTCCCAAGTAGCTGGGACCACAGGC